CTCTCTCTCTCTCTCTCTCTCTCTCTCTCTCGCACTAACTCACTCGCTGTATATCAGAGAAAAATATTTGTTGAAAGTCATTGTTTTTAATATTATTAAAATCTTATCGTTTATTTGACATTATTTTTAAACAAAAAACTAAAAGTTATTTTATTGGTCCAACTCTTAATTTTTATACCACTTTTATTAAAATTTAATAGACTATGAATTAAAAAAATTACAATATTTATCAATAATACATTATAATAGATATGATTTATTATTATAATAACATTAATAGATACTTTTACATTCAAAACGTGCTTATTGATAATTAATGTACATTTTATAGCATAAACATAAGGCTTTATATTAATTAATATTGATTACTTTCTTAAAATAATTTCAAAGGGTTTGGGATTAAACAAGTAAATTGGAAACAAATCCGGTTCAAGCTTATCTAATGTACGTTCATCATGCTCACACTGTAACTCAATACGATATTCATTGGTTAATTGCAAAAAATTGACCAAGACCAATAATTCATCATTTATAGCCAGCGCTCTACCCGGACATATACGGCGACCGCAACCAAACGGCATATAAGCTGTGGGATTTGTTTGTATAAATTGTCCATGCTCGTCGAGAAATCGTTCAGGTTCAAATCTATCCGCATTTGTCCAATACTTTGCGTCTTTCATAATACCGAATTGATGGACTAACACCTGGGTGTTTCTAGGCACCGAAAAATCACCTATTTCAAAATTATAAAAAAAACTTATTAAATATAATATACACCATAATCTATTATTAATTGTTTATGGTTTTTGTAGTCAGTAAATTATTTAAATATTTAAGTATACTGTATGTAAAAATATCCTGTACCTAATTTACAGTCGGCTAATGTCTTGTGAAACACACCCATCGGCGCCACATTCCTGTGCCGTAATATCTCCGACACAAACGCCAGCGTATAGTTGAGCCGAGGTATGTCCTCAGCCACCGGTTCCCGACCACCTAGCTCAAAGCTAATCTCGCTGTGTAACTTATCTTGATAGTGCGGGTAATACGCCAGGTATAGTAAAATCCACATTAGTGTGATTTGTGAAGTATCCACACCAGCTGTTTGTTAATTGTCATTAATAAATAATTTATATGTAATATATTGTTTATATAATATTAAACTTTATATTGTTATAAATAATTTTAACATACTTCAAATTTTAATTTTACTCAATTGTCTTAAATAATGCTAAATTAAATGTTGCAATTAATATAACTTAATACCTATAAACATGTCAATTAACGTCACCAACAGGTTATCATCGATCAAATATTGTGCCGACTGTTTGTCGTCGGCAATGGCCTCGTGTTTAGCGGCGATTAGTATATCACAAAAGTCACGCAAACTATTGCTGTCATATGTTTTGTCGTGTTTTTGGTATATATCTCGCGTATAAACCAACAATTCATTGAAATAGCTTTTATATTTGGCTAATGGGTCGGCCATAAAATATTTCGACATAGGTACAAACTCGTACATCATCATGGCACTACCCACTTCAGGTATGTAGTCAATGGTGAGATATTTATATTTCTTTAACGCAGGATGCTCGTTATCAAATCTATTAAAAATTTACATTTATTAATTGTAACTTTTACCGCATATTAATTAATTCTCACTTTTCGCTGTACATAATTGAGCCCAATATACTGGCAAACAGATCGTATGCATAGTGTCGGGTCTGAAATGGTTTATCAATGCCTTCATTAGTGATTATATTGTCAACCATTTGGCGCACACTTTTGGCCACCAATTCAGACAATGCTCTTGTTTTGGCGTATTTACTGTTATATGTATTTATAAATCATAATAAATAGTTTAGATTACATAATGAATGAGAGTAAGAGAGAGAAAGAGAGAGAGAGA